TCTTGATTCTCCACCATATCAGCTTGAACGACCCCAACTAAACCAATGGTAGGAGCAATGTTAAGACCATCAAGGTCATGCGAAGAAAGGAACATCGGCCACAGTCCCCTCCTTTAGCAGGAGGAGCAACACCCAGATTTGGAAATAAGATTGGGCAACCATCCTTCGAATGACCCAAAGTTTTGCAGTGAAAGCAATACGAGGGCAAATCTTCCATTTCTACTGATTAAATATAAATCATAGACTTGGAACCAAGCCAAACATGAGAATTATAACATTTAGTAACATATAATTCCACTAATATGCGAGCCACAGAAGGTCTAAAATCATTAGTTGTTGCATTATCCATTCTCAAAGGTCTACCAAAGAACAACCCCAATCCATGAAGTATGTAGGCGGAGAAAAGATGAGGGCGCAAACTGGGGAAAGAAACCCAAGTGGTAACTATAGGAGACTCCACATTTATATCAAAATGGGGAGTCCACTTAAAAAACTTCATGAAGCAATTGCTAACGAAGTAGGAGGGGTGAGAAAAAAAAACCTTACAGTAATCTAAGTCATTGACTAGCTTAATCAATTTATTTTTAGGGTTCAACAAAGTAACCGAGAAATCACCAAAAGGCTTTAGGTTAAAGAAGAATTTGTGAACCGAATCAAGAGGCAGGCGTCGGCCCGGAAGCTTCCCCACTAAAGCAAACTGGAAGGGCACTGCAAGCGAAAGCATTTCCTCCTCCGAGATCAACAATGTCGGCAAACCATGATGGGAAAATACTTTGAGCGGAGGAAAATCCGGCGAAGTTGACTCACCCGATAAAACATTTCTAAAAGACCTAGATTTAAACTTCCCATCCAAAAACCCAAGATCTCTTAAACGATTCGCAGCCATACGAAAGAAAATTGAAAGAAACCAAAGGTATTAAAGGAGGAAAGTTCCCAACCGAAGCGGCAACCGGGAGCGGGTAAAACCCTAGACATCTCGAGGAGCTTCATGAGGGAAAAACAACCTAGATTTTTGTTATTGCTCATAAGTGGTTAGATATTTTTAACCGTAAGTTTAGAGAGTAAGATATACCAATGACCCAAGGATGATAAACACCAAGATTAAATAGAATTTTTTAATTCACATTTAGCAAAAATATATTTTAGATATTATTAAAATTGTATCATAATTTTTGGAAATTATTTGACTTAGCTTTTAAAATTATTTGATTTGTTCCTAATTTATTAAATATGCAAAAAATTTCTTCCTCAATTATATTATTTGTGATGCATATATTACTCATAATTATGATATTGATCATGTATGTGTTTGGAAGTTTTAATTGATTAAAAAATTTTCATATATTTCTATAAATTTGACTTATTATATTAATTTCTGTATTAATTATGGTTAATTATATACTTAATTAATTTGAGCTTAATTTTTTAATTCCATTGATTCCATTAGATTGATTACTTAAATTTTTATATATAATATTCCTTAGTTTGGTATTAAATTCATTAAATAATATTATAATCAAGGGTTTTTACTATGTGTCGCTAAAAATCCTATAAGACCTAATCAAATTAGTCGAAGAAATTGTACTAGTTATTGGAGCTCATTTTTAAAGACTTTTTTAACGATTTTTTTTTAAACCTTCTTTAGAGCATTTCATAATTGTTCCCCACCCTATATATACCTTGTAACATGAGAAAAAAAATATGAATCTTATGAAAGTTTGAGTGTTCAATGGGCTTATCATGTTTGAGAAGAAATTAAAGTTAGTTTCTAGTTTTCATCTATTTTTCAAGGCATAAAGCTTCTAATTTTGATTTGTAGATAATGTCTCTACAAATGTTTACAAGTTGTTTATGCTTGTATATCTTCAATGTATTGTTGTAAGGAGTGAATTGTTTATTTAGTTGGTCTTAGCCGTGTACATCACCAAAGTTTTGAATACTGTGCTTATCATTTTTGAGTAAAAATAAAAGAGTTTTTGGGAATTCATCCAATTTTCATTCCTTGGAGCTTCAAATTTTGGTGATCTCTCTCTTAATCTCATTACAAAATTTTGTAAATTATTTTATATTGTATATATTTAATTTATCATTGTATATTTTGAGTTGTTTATTTATTTGGTGTAGCCTTGTACAACAACAACAACATCAAGCATTTGTCCCACTACATGAGGTCGGCTACTTGAATCCTTTTCTCCATTATGTCCTGTTAAAAGTCAAATTCTCATTTAAATCTAATAAAGAAATATCATTTCAAATCATTTCTAACCAAGTCTTTTTAGGTCTACCTCTACCTTTCTTAATATTAGTCAAATCTAATACCTCTACTTTCCTAACCATATCATCGGAGACTGTCATTTTATGTGACTAAACCATCTAAGGCGACTTTCTCTAATCTTATCTTCCACTGGAGCTACTCCAACCTTTTCACGTCTATGATCATCTCGTATCATGTCTCTAAGGGTAACTCATCCACCTGATCATTCTTATCTCTGCAACACTTAACTTAGTATTATGCTTCTCTTTTAATGGCCAACATTCTGCACCATAAAGCATTGCAGGTCTCACCACCATCTTATAAAATTTTCACTTAAGTTTGAGGGGACTTTTCTATCACATAACAAGCCTGATGCATACATCCACTTCAACCATCCAACTTGAATTCTCCATATAATATCTCCATCTATTTCACCATCACTCTAAACAATAGATCCAAGATATCTAAAACATGTACTCTTATTAATGACTTGATCGCCCAAAGTCACAATCCCTCCACTAGGTCTATTACCATTAAAATTACACTCCAAATATTCAGTTTTAGATATACTCAAGCGAAAACCTTTAGACTCTAAGGTTGACCTCCATAATTCAAGTTTAACTTCAACTCGCTCTCTAATCTTATCAACAAGAAGAATATCATCAGCAAAATGCATACACCAAGGTACATCCTCTTGCAAATGTCTAGTGAGAACATCCATGACTAAAGCAAAAAGATATGGGCTAAAGGCTGATCCTTGATGTAATCCAACCAAAATAGGAAAATACTTGGTCAAACCACCTTGTGCTTGGACACAAGTAACAGCTCATGCATAAATATCTTTAATGATTTGAATATAAGCATTATTAACTCCTTTATTTTCAAGAACTCTCCATAGCACTTCTCTTGGAACTTTATCATATGCTTTCTCTAAATCAACAAATATCATATGTAGATCCTCCTTATTCTCTCTATATTTCTCCATCAAACCTCTCAATAAATGTATGGCTTCCATAATAGATCTAATCGGCATGAATCCAAATTGATTTTGAGAAACATTAGTATCACACCACAACTTACGCTCCATAACTCGCTCCCATAATTATAAAGCATGACACATTAACTTAATTCCTTTATAATTCGCAAAATCTTATTCATCACCTTTACTCTTAAAATAGGAATCAACACGCTCTTTCTTCACTCATCTGACATCTTTTTATTCTTCAAAATAATATTAAAAAGATTAGTAAGCCAAGAAATTCCTTCATCTCCTAAGCATTGCCACACCTTTATTAGAATATCATCAGGTGCAATAGCTTTTTCATACTTCATTTTCTTTAAAGCCTCTCTAACTTCGGTTTTACTAATACGACGATAAAAACAAAAAACTTTATTTTTCGTTTAGGGTGCTAAGGTCACTAAAGTCAATTGTATTATCACATTCTTCATTAAAAAGATTAAATATCTCATCCATCTTTGTTGAATATCATCTTCTAAGAAAAGTACTTTTTGATCTTCATCCTTAATACACTTCACTTGAACTAAATCATTACTACTCATATCTCTTTGTTTGGTTAACTTATACATATATCTTTCTCCCTTATTACTATCCAATATATTATATAAATCATTAAAAGCTAAGATCTTTGCATCGCATATTGTTATCTTATATTCTTTACATACCTCTTTATATATTTCACAATTATCAAAACTTTTACATCCAACCTAATTTTCATTACAAATTTTCTTATTTTTTATCTTTTCTATCACATTTGGATTACACCACCAACTATTTTTACTATTATGAGCTTTTCTCTTTGAAACTCTAAGTGCATTTTTTGCAATATTTTTAATATCACTAACAACTTTTTTCCACATAATATTAGCATCCTCATGCATAGAAGTGTCAATTCGGGTCAACGGGTCGGGTTCGACCGAACCTGACTTGACCCCCCCCCCTCCCCCCAACAAAAAATAAAGAAAAATATTTTTCTTTAAGCTAACACCAAAAATATCCTATATTTTCAATAGATTTCTTTATGTGAATGAAGCTATCATACTCAAAATAAAAAATCATTTAGCAAGCTTCTCAATATTCAAGTTGAGAAAGTCAAATAGTTAGCAATCGACATAAAGAAATAACTTAAATTTGAGAAGCCATGTAATGTTGAGATTTACCCCATCAAATCTTGACATAATGATGGTGAAACAATCACAGAAGTCTTTTGGTTATTCATTTGTAAGCGGGTATTAAAATTGATGCAAGAATTGCCCTATCTAGTATAAGTGCTGTGGTAGCAATGCCTTTCATGGATTCTTGGGTTTATTTTCACCTGACGTTGTTGTTACTAAGAGAATTACAACTTGGTATATTGGGTATTGATTTAATGTATAGACTATGGTTTTGTTTGATCAAGAGATGTGTGACCATCAAAAATAGGTTCACTTTCTCCAAACAACAAAATGAATTTTAATAATAAGTCTACATGGAAATTGCAAGTTATATCTAATGGTTAGTAGAAATGCAATGAACATCAAGCAATGCAATGCTCATAACTCTTTACCCGTAATAATTGCCAACAAAAAAGCCTATCGCTTCAGAAGAAAAGCAAAAGTTGACGCAGAGACCTAAAGCAGTCCCCAATCCAAAATGTGTATGACCATCTTTTTTTAAAAAAATGCAACTCAAAGCAAGAAATCAAATCAAACAATAAGAAAATGGGAGAAAGTGAAACCAAAATATAACCTGGTGACGTTAATCGGCCTTTGCAAACTCCTATCTGCATCAATCTCTTCACCCACGGAAGCGACGGAAGCGCTAGAACGGAACTGCGTGGTTGATTAAATTGGAATAGTTGCAGCTAGAGTTCTCGATCGGTGGCCGAAAGAGCTTGACCAGTTGTGAGAGAGAAATTCGACCCAATTGTGATGGCAATGAAGGTGAGGAAGGTGCTCAACCGAGAAGATGACAGCGATTGGCGGCGAGAGCGATAGATTCACTGCAAATAGCTGCGACGGCTAGAAAACGCTTTGTTTTGGATGGTACAAAAAATCAGGAGAAATCCCTTATAATTGAGAGAGAATTTGGGGTAAAAATAAACCGAAGAAATCGCGAGAGGATCTAATGAATCTTAAAAATTTTGAATTTATTTTAAGATTGAAGTAAAATAGATAAAATGTGAAATAAGTATATACTCAAAATGTTGGATGTTTCGATGACAGATAAGATTAGGGGTGCAATCGAGTCAAGCCGACTCGATAGCCGGCTCGGACTCTACTCGGTAATAGGCTCGACGAGTCGAGCTTATCGAGCTCGAGCTAGAACATACGTCGAACTCGATGAGCAGCTCGATGCCTGAGCTCGCGGGCGGGAAATCTGAATATGGCGAGGGGAAAATCCAAAACAACGGCGAGCACGCGCGGATCAACGGCGCACGAGCTCGGGATGACGGGTGGACGCAACTGCGAGCTCAGGGTGATAGATATCGACGTCATGGCCCGTCCAGAGCTCGCGGATCTCAGGACGTTAGTTCTTGATGGTGGACGAGCTCGGGACGATAGGCGGACGTGCCTGCGAGATCAGGGCGATGAATGTCGACGGCATAGCTCGTTCAGAGCTCATCATATCTCGGGATGTCGGTTCTCGACGGCAAACAAGCTCGGGACGACGGGCGGACACGACTGTGAACTCAGGGCGATGGATATCGATGGCATAACTCGTCGGATCTTGAGACGTCGGTTCTCGACGGCGGATGCTACGAGTTCGGGAGACAAATCTCGACGGTAGAGCTTCGATGACGATGGACAAGTTGGATGATGACGGACACGACGAGGAGGGCGGAACTTGGGTTTCGAGACAATGGATGCGACAACGGGCTCGACATCCAAGCTCGAGGAGCCACTCAACATGACGACGATGTCGAGCAGCTCGTCGAGCTCGGATTTTGAACTCGACTCGAGTTCGAGCTCGAACTCGAGCTCGGGTTTTGATTGTCGAGCTCGACTTGAACACCCTCTGGCTCGAGCTCGACTCGATTCGTTTGCACCCCTAGATAAGATTAGAGATAATCGTTTAAAATTTTTGGTCATATAAAACTTTGGTCTTCGGATGACCCCGTTTAGAGAATAGATATATTAAATTCACTTATGTTAAGAAATCTAAAAATAGACACACAAAAAAAAAAGATTAGAAAGTATTAAAATATTTTTTGTTAAGAAAGGCAGAAATAGACAAAAGAAAAGAGCATTTGACTCTTGATACATACTCCAAAAAATATTTTGATCGGGCACGAATCTCGAGGCAAAAGCTAGTTGGAAACTTCAAAAATTAATTTCGGGAGCATATGAACTCCGATTTCAGCGAGCTTACAGTCAAACGCACTCCGTTCGTCCGCCAGTAGAATCGCGCCACGCGTTCTCATTATTTACTGCGTGCCCCAACAACCCGACCCGGAACGGACCCAGGATAGCTCGGTATTTCTCGATTTTGCTCGGTATTGGTCGATTTTGCTCGGGAATAACCAATACCGAGCAAATACCGAGCAAATACCGAGTAATACCGAGCAATACCGGGTCGTACCGAGTTTTTCTAGTACGACCCGGTATTGCTCGATATTACTCGGTATTGGTCTTCACAGAGCGGTATTTATCGTTATTGCCAAGCAATACCGAGCAATATCGAGCAAATACCGAGTAATACCTCGCAATACGCGAACATAGCATTCCCAGGTTCCGGTCCGGGTCAAGTCGCCGGGCCGCGCGGTAAAGAGTAAGAGCACGTGACTACATGTTATTGGTGGCCGAACGTAGCTCTACGTCCGGTCAGAGGACGTAATAATTAGCTTGGAAAAATTATTATGTGCAGAAGTCGAATGTTGTCTAGAGACCAATCAAAATGTGTCACGTCACCCACGTGTTCGGTATTGTTCAGTACCGCTGGTACCGCGGCACAGTACCGCTGACGTGACGCATTCTGATAGGACGACGTTCCACGTCCGGTCTCCGCACATAATAATTTGTCCTCTTTTTGGGTCTTTGCATCTCAGCGTGGCCTTGCATGAAGCCTCTGGACCAACGACGATGGCCGCTCACCATGTAGCCTCTGCAAACGATGTCGCATGAAGTCGTGACCTCCTCTCTCTCCAGCAAAACCTTTGGACCGTCAACACTTGCCGATCGAGAGCCTCTACAAGCTATCTCCTCAAGAGTACTGTGACCTCCTTCCTCTGGCAACTTCTGGCCTAATTCCCGCTATCCTCGGCAGACGATCTCACCAAAGCCATTTTCCTTCTGTGCTGGTGCTATCATCTTTCCATATTAGTTTATTCGTTTCTTACAATGGATTTACTTTAACTCTAATCAAATACATCTCAGAATCTATTTTATGATTAATCAAACCTTCTAATTATAGTTTACTTACCCTATATTTTCAATGTCTTTGAATTTTCAATATTTGATGCAATTCAATTTGATCTGTTAGTTGGGAGCTTTGACTATTAATAAATAGGTATTGAATTCGAGTCTTGTATATGTGATGTGTGAATGAATTTGTCTTCATTGATCTAAATGTTCTTAAAAAAAAAAATTCAATATTTGCAATCAACATAAAATTGGACATTTCAAATAATTTTTTTAGAATTTTTTTGTGACATTTCAGACCTTCGAATGGAGGTTTTTTTTTCTTTTTTTTTAGATGGAGGCCTTATCTATCATAAAATTGATTAAGCTTCATGATAGTTTGCACTGGCAAGATCGGATTCACGAGAAAAAATCGTATATAATAAAAGAATAAGAGTTTGTTTGAGACTGATGCTCCCTCTTATAAAGATGATTATAAATTTGTTATGAGAAAATTAATTTTTTAAAAGTTATAAAAAAATAACTTTTTAATATATATTTTTAAAAATAATAATTGTTGCGTCCAGGAGTATTCGCGGCGGTAGAGAAATATAAAGTTTATCGTCTTAGCGTTGTACGAAAATCTGGCACGCAATCAGATAAGGAGAGAGGGTCTAGCATTTATGAGACACCAAGATTTTTACGTGGAAAACCCCTGTAAAATGGGGAAAACCCACGGGGCCTAGCCCAGTTTGAATGAATCCACTAGTATTCACAGTCGATTACAAATGAGGTCCTTCCTTGGGAGAAGGCCTTAGCTTGATGTACATCTTATGGAGTACATTACATGATGTAAATACAAAGAGCTACTATCGACGTATTCTCTTTGTTAGAAGGACTGCAGTCGGCGGGCGACGTAGGTCAGGAGGACCGTAGTCAACGGGCGACGGATGTCGGAAAGACTGTAGTCGACGGGCGACATAAGTCAGGAGGA